GTATTGGTATCTCTCATGAAACAGCCGTTAGCGAGTGCCAAAGAGAAGCTATGAACATGATCCTGTCCCAAAGTTTATCCCGGGAAACAAACGCTTAAAAATGTGTCTATTTCACTCCAATCAAATGCACATGTTATTTCAATTGGATCGTCCTGTTGCTCTCCCATGCCTTTGAATATTTTCTTTAATCATATTTTTTACTAGTTCCCCGCGTAGTGAGATTAAGGCTTGGTTGTTGTGGCTGTTGTATATTTTTGACTACTTGTATGTGTAAGACTTCGCACATATGCCCTTTCCAGGCCCACTAGGTGGGAGCCCCATACACTGGGCCACTAAAAAATATTTTTGACTAGTTGCACTTGCTTATATAACATGCTCTGCTCAGTGGATGATTGGGCTGCCGGTTCTTGCTTCTTTGACGTAAATTGCTCATTGCCATATGTATTTAGCCTCTTTGTGTCTATCAAAACACTTATAAAAAACTGTCTCGAGATCCAGGGCTCATCGAACATTAATATGTCCCTTTATCTTGCCTTTTGTAGTTTATCTTCAATTTTTGGTCGCGGGTTAGATGAAAAGAAACTCGGTTTTTGACCAAGTGTTATCTCAACAGAAAAGTTATTGATGATTGTTTTCTTTTTGTCTGAACTAAAGAACAACAGTTTAGGTCATATTTTGTGTTTACAGCTCCCTCTCAATTTGTTTCTTTATAGGCTAGGAATTATATTCCTACTAACCAGTGTCTATGATAGGGTTAAACCCCCCATCACCCGAGTATATGAGAGGAGGCATCCACGCGGCAACAAGAGAGCTGATGTGGCACTGTCCCATCAGCACAACACTGTCCCACGTGGCAGTGAGACTGATTCTGTTGGAGCTGGAGTTGTCCACGTGGCAGCAGCTGATGTGGCAGTGGATGTAACTGCCAATAACTACCTGTCTTAGGGAGGGAATTGTGTAAATAGGAAAGGGGTAATAGTAGAAAGGTATTGGAGAATTATATTCTTGGATAGGGATTGGTTCATGGGAATCAATTAGGGTTCTCTCTTCTCTTGTAACTCACATTCCCACATTGAGTAAAGTGCATTAGTATTCGGAATCGCATTGATTCCGAATCGAATTTTTCATCTTTCTTAATCTTGATTTCTTGTTCTATTACCGGTGTTATCAGTCTACCATCATTTTGATTGCATCTCCATGTTTTGGATAATCGATGACTATCTCTGCTGATAACTTAGCTTGATCTTTGAACTTGCTCATAATCTGAATGTACTCTGATTTTCATAATTTTGTTTAGCACAAGCTACTTAATTTTCATATTTATGCTTTCTATTTTAAATCCTTTTAACTGTGTTTTTAAAATTCTAAACTAATTTTGACTAAGTTGGCTTTGGTCATTACTTCACGATGGTCTTTTTGCTATGTGGTGCAGGCTAGAGCTGGTATAGATTATGAGTCTTCTTATGGTAAAGCACGCCCAAATGATACTATTCTGAAGCTTCAAAGGACAACACCATATTACAAAAGAAACCGAGCACATGTTTGCAGTTTCTACATAAGGGGTGAGTGTACTAGAGGAGCTGAGTGCCCTTATAGGCATGAGATGCCAGTAACTGGGGAATTGTCTCAACAAAATATCAAAGATCGTTATTATGGGTATGTACTGTTGTTAATAGCTTCTTGTTTGGGTATGGGTTTTTCTTACCTGTTCTCTCTTTCAATTCAATTGCTTATTTCTGCCAATATAGTTTGGTCATATAATGTCCTTGGTGGCACTGGGCAGCTACAAAGTATTTTTCATTTTTGTGGAGATAGTTGTTAGTTTATATTTATTAGGCATTCACTTCCTTTTGTGCTTGTTGTGCATGATAATGACCTGCCATGAGGCCCATGATGATGGCCTGCTGTGTAACCATGATGAAACTTAGCAGTTTGTTTTCACATACCAAGTCATGCAATTGTTATGCTCCTAGGATTTTCTTTCAGACAACACCAGTTGAGTGTAGATGGGGTAGCTATATGGATCAGTGTTTTAAATTGCGGTTGCGGTCGCGATTACGGTAACGGTTGCAGTAATGGTTGCGGTTACTGCGATTGCGGTAACGGTTGCGGTTACTGCGAGTGTGGTCATTACAGCCGTTGTGATGCAGATTGCGGCCGTTGTGGTGTGAATTATTTTGTGATTAAAAAAATATTTTTGAATTCGATGCGGCTAGATTCGGTCCAATGCGGCCACATTATTGTGATTTGTAATCACACCACAATTGCTGTGTGATGCGGTTGCGGAGGCCACCGCAATATTGTGGCCACATCAGGTGATGCGATCCGCAATTTAAATCACTAATATGGGTCAAATGATTCTTTTATCGTCTGACTACATTTGACACTAACATTTGAGGTTTCAAAGTTGGGAATTGTCTTGATTATGATGTTACTAGCAGACATTTACTTGCATATAAGTTCATTACTACTTTCCTGATGTATGTGCTTGATTCTTATT